GGCCGCCGGGACACCGGGAGAAATCCCGGTGGGCCGGTGGTCCGGAGGGCTAAGCGGGTCAGTGTGCCGGAGGGCTATGTAGGCAGCATGCCGCAGCACGTGGACAATTAAAAACTTTTTTAGTTGAGTTATGTAAAAATATAATAATTATTTTACACATACCATGCATGCCAGCCTGCCAGCTTTGTTTCTTTTTTCGAGATTGTATATTGTTAATAAAGTTTCCTGAGCGATGATAATTTGTATTAGTTTTTATTTTATATGTTTTAGCATTGTGTAAAATATTGTCTGGTTGTGTTTTGTTGCCTGTTTTTTTTCAAGAATTTAATTTATACTTTATGTTATTAATTATTAATAAATGTTTTAAATTTTTTAACTTGGTTTTGTTCACCCCCCATTTTTCTGAATTTCCCGGGCCGGTCTGATATAGCCAGCACGCCCCTGCCCAGGAGAGACAAAGTAATCTTCGCTTTGAAAAAAATTTATATAAAAGAAATTAAAATTTTATAAAATTTTATATGAACACACGTAAATGTTGTCCAATCATTGGACTCCAATGGTGAATTTTGAATTTTTGTTAAAGCCACTGGACGTTCATACTAGTAGGCTTAATAATAATTATAATATATATATATATATATATATATATATATATATATATATATATATATATATATATATATATATATATATATATATATATATTGTACCGGACTATTAATTAATGATCATTAACCAATTCTTGAATCTACGAGTGAAGTTCACTCGGTGAACGTTCACTCAGTGAACGTTCAAAATTATTGCGCTGTTGCCAGCATTATTTGATACAGAGGAACTACTGTTTAGGGATTTTTATCCTTTTTTTTGTACGGTTGTCATAATTTTCTGTCATTCATGATTTTTTGATATTTTGTTTTATAAATTATATTCGATACCTATTCGATTATATTAATAATAATAAAAACCTAGTGTGGTATACTAAATAAATAAATTATTTTTGAATTTGAATAAAAATGCGTCACTTTTTACCCCTTCCAAAAGGAGTGTCCCCACAAACCATATATCCCATACAGCACAAGATCATCTTGTCAAGATGTCCAATGGACGGCCATTGTACATCCAAACGTCCAATGTAAATCCATTGGACATCTTGTGCTGTATGGGATATATATGCCACAAACGGCATTCAGAAAAATATGCTAATTGAATATATGGAACAAAACCCCAAATTAAGCCGGTACCTTTAGTCCTGATTTTACATTCAAAAATGCCCACACTCTGGGAAATAACACAGCAAACGGAAAATTATAGAAGTGTATAGGATGACTCCGCGTTTGAATATCAAATCTTAAAGTTTTATCATAACTGTATTGAATCGTGCTTTGTTTTTATATTTTTCGGCTCTATACCTATGCACGACTATATTTAAAGTCAAACTCAATGGTGTCTTACAAGATACATTATTTTGATTTTCTATATTCAACAGAGGAGTAGAAACTCGACCCTGTCGAATGGTGCAGTCATGCATTTATGTCTCTAGAAATTATTAAAAAAGGGTTCAGTCCAATGGTGCAGCAACTTCGGATTCCTATTCTCCTCAGAGACATAGAAACTCAAGCTTTTCGAATTTTACTGGCAATGATTTTCGTTAATGTCCCCGAGAATTATACAAAAACAGCGCAATGCAATATCGCAACGGTTTCGACTTCTCTTTACTCTACCAAGTTATAGAAACTGGAGTCTCTCTAATACTGTTCTAGTCAATATTTCTAAGAGTATAAAAAGAGGGTGTAATATTGCAAGAAGTTTTGATCTTTTGATGGATGCAAGTAGTTTGAATTTTCTCCTTTCTGCATATGATTTTGTTGAAAATAGTTCCTTTCTTTGGTTCCTTTGTCTGATTTTTAGTTACCGTAACAACTCAGGTATGTAAAGCACAGATGATATGATGTTAAGTATATTTATGTATTATATAAAGTACCTATATTTGTATTAAAAATTTCAGAGGTTATGTTGAAAAAAATGATCGATATGCTATTAAACTTAAATAATTTAGTAATTAGGTCTGTTGGTAGACCCTGTACATCTCCACTGGTAGTTTTATGTTAGTTCATCAATATTTAAATCTGGTTGATTAAAAAGTACATAGCAGTGCAGGTTATTGTGGCATCTACGAACAAATGAATTAATGGCCCATTGGCAATTATTCCTTTAGGAAAAATATTCAACACAGCTTAATTAATTAATAAAATGAAAAAAATCACAATCATGTCGTATATAGTTTTTTTTAAGCATAAAATCATTTTTATATTAATACTAGTTCAAAAGTGAAATTACGACCTCTATACTGTGGAGAGTATTGAAACGCTCGACTGACGAATACAACTCTATACCGTAGGGAGATTTAGAAAACGATATTCAAACGTGGCGTCATCCTATACACTAGGGTGGAGTGAATTTTATTAAATTTATTAATTGATTTTTCCTATATTATTAATTGTTGACTAAAGGCGTAAAATGAATAAATATCGAAAAAATATTCCAATTTTTTAATATCTTGAGGTGGCGCATCAGTCTCGAAGTTTTGAAAATTCTAAAAAAATATTACTTTAATCAAAGTAATAAAAATAGCATTATTTATAAATAAAAAATTTATTTTAGTAAAATTAACGTGAAACGTAAACATATTTAATAGTAAATCATATGCTTTAAGTAACTTCAGGAGTGTTTATTGGTAGAAATGAGATCTTCTTTTTCGCGAAAATACTGACATTTGGTATAAAAATTTGGTAATTATTTTCTGACTTTAATTCTTGTTCTGATGAAACCATCTCTTGCTTCCGATCCACAAACCGAGTCTGAAGATTCAGTATACTGGTTATAACCAGTTTTACACAGCGTTCCACTGCTTGGGTGTGACACGGAAATTTTTGGAAATATAGGAAATGGTCACCCGAAGAAATCATATCGGTAATTTTTGTCATCGTATTTCATAGTCATAGGTGGTTCAGTTACCTTTTCTGTCGCCCAGTGAATTAACTCGTAAAAATGTAATGCTTCAGTATTTAGTTGTGGAAGCTTTAATTCCCGTAATCTCGAACATTTTGATTCTTTTCTCGCCTTTAATATTTTCGGCAATGCTAGTTCTCTGATAGATAGATATATTGCAGGTAACATAGCTAGTAATAGGTTTTCGGGATAAATATTAGCTATAGCTTACAAAGATCCAGGCAAGCTAGCACATTCCCCATTGCTGACGTGGGCTAATAGTTTATATGGGGAGACAGCAAATCCATCGGAAAACCTAAAATAATTGGCTACTTTTATCATGAAAGTGTATGCCCCAACGTGGTTTTACATCAACACCAAGCCTACGTGCAAAGATGGTCCTATTCACATATTTAATATGACTAAAAGAGCATTACACCTCCAGAAAAACTTGAAGGCCTTATAACTATAGTTATATATATAGTTATAAAGAATATTCAGCGAAATATTTATCCCGAAAACCTATTACTTGCTATGTTACCTACAATATATCTATCGATCAGAGAACTAGCATTGCCGAAAATATTAAAGGCGAGAAAAGAATCAAAATGTTCGAGATTACGGGAATTAAAGCTTCCACAACTAAATACTGAAGCATTACGTTTGTACCAGTTAATTCACTGGGCGACAGAAAAGGTGACTGAACCACCTATGACTATGAAATACGATGACAGAAATTACCGATATGATTTCTTCGGGTGACCATTTTCTATACTTCCAAAAATTTCAGTGTCACACCCAAGCAGTGGAACGCTGTGTAAAACTGGTTATAACCAGTATACTGAATCTTCAGTCTCGGTTTGTGGATCGGAAGCAAGAAATGGTTTCATCAGAACAAGAATTAAAGTCAGAAAATAATTACCAAATTTTGATACCAAATGTCATTATTTTCGCAAAAAAGAAGATCTCATTTCTACCAATAAACACTCCTGAAGTTACTTAAAGCATATGATTTACTATTAAATATGTTTACGTTTCACGTTAATTTTACTAAAATAAACTTTTTATTTATAAATAATGCTATTTTTATTACTTTGATTAAAGTAATATTTTTTTAGAATTTTCAAAACTTCGAGACAGATGCGCCACCTCAAGATATTAAAAAATTGGAATATTTTTTCGATATTTATTCATTTTACGCCTTTAGTCAACAATTAATAATATAGGAAAAATGAATTAATAAATTTAAAAAAATTCACTCCACCCTACTATACACCTCTATAATTTTTCGTTTGCTGTGAATTACTGTGAAATTAAACGCCGTACCAGGAGGTGCAAAAAAATACGAGTGGCGAATGTGGAGAAAGGTAAGCTTTTAAATTAACTCTGCGTTCATTTACATTATTTGATATTTTCAACAAAATCTCTTTTTTTTAACTTAATGCACAAATTCGAAATTAAATAAAAAACAGAACTGACAGAACAGAACAGACCGGAATAAGAAAACAAATTTCCATAAAAAACATCTTTACTGCGCCAGCGCCACTCGATTCGATGCTGCTCCTCGCTTTCGGACCATGCGTTCCGGAACGTATGATTTTTATGAGATTATTTATATCGGATCACCGTCCAAGAATATAACGACGATCGTCTCATGTGATCATTCGCCATAAATCTATACCGCTCACTGCTCAAGAATAGCCGTCCAGGACGCATCAACAATCAGCGCCTCTGGTGGTGAAAAAAAATACTTAATTTGTGCAATTTAGAGGGCAGGTTTTGTCAATTTTCCCTATTAAGTTCGGGCTCCTTGTGTTAGCTCCATGAGCAGAAGTACCATTTTTTAAATACTAAAAATACTAAATCAAACTGGCATAAGCTACCAACTTAATAAAAAAACAGGAGTCCAAATAAAAAAAAACTATACAAAATACAAAGAAAAGGTTCATTTATCAAAATTTATTAAAACATAAATCGGTACTTATATACAATTTACAATTATAATTAACGGTTTAGTTATTATAATAATTATGACTTCTTTGATATCTGTTCATTTCTTCCACATAAATATTCTGTTGAATGTATGATCTTACAGAATTTACCTGCTGCTGCCAATTATTATGAAACCAATTGTCAAACTCTTGCGCGTTATTAAAATTAAGTCCATTTTGCCATAACTGATTACTGCACTGGTCCATGTATGAAGAATAATCTCTTGTATGATTCTGATGACTTGAATCATACATAAAAGTTTCATTGCGTTGATATTGTTCAATTTCTTCTTCTGGGCATTCAAATTCTTCTTCCATGTTGGTATCATTTCGATTAAAAAGAACACAGTCATTATTTGTTTCATTATAATAACTAGGTTTTTGATTTTTCTTTACTGGGACCCATTTCATAAAAGAGTAATTCGGATCATTCGCTAAATCTTTAACGGTTCTTGGAACACAATCCACAGTGGATTCTTCGTTTATTTCGCAATCCTCGTCGAAATCGTCATCCTCATCTTCCCATTCTAAATTTTCCTCTTGTTCTTCGGAAATATGCAAATCTTCCAATTTCTTTATTTCAGACTCAGGAAGACATTTTAACCAATGTGGGGCGTTTGGATTCACAGCGTATTCATAACCAATTTCGAAAATATTTTCCATAGTTTTATTTGTTGTCAAATTTTGTGACGTACAAGGGTTGCCAACATTACTTATATCCTGCTTGGTGGAATCAATTAAAAAATTTTGGACATCGATATTTTCCTCTTCCTTTAAAATATTTAAATACTGATCTACACTGGCCATATCATCCTTGTCGGGTTCGGTTTGGGAATCATAAAGCATTTTAGAAACACTTAACAGAGCTCGGTTTTTGAAGAATATATTTTCGATTGGCTGACATTTTTCCTTTTGATTTTCTATAGAATTTGGAGATTTATCCAGTTCTGGGCGTTTTCTTTTCTTATAAAAATCACCACTTGCTAATTGTTGAAGTATATCTTGTGTCTCATCAAGTTTTGTTTCAGTGGATTTAGTTAATTCTGGAGAACCTTTGGCCAATGATTGTAATAGTAATTTGGTATCTATTTCGGTATTTTTTTCATGTATTTCTGTGCTACTTATTTGCATTGAGCCTTTTGCCATGGATTCTAAAAGTAACTTGATATCCATATTTTCGTCTTTATTAGTATTTGATTTGCTCTCATCTAAAATATTTAAAACGCTTTCCTCATCCAGTAACTCTTGTTTTGCTTTTTTCTTTTCTTTATTACAAGATTTGTTCTTATTTGTTGTATTTTTCATTTCAAAAACCTGACTCTTAAAGTCTATATTTTTACCCACTTCAGTGGAAATAGAACCATGAATAAACTCAAGAGTGTTTGTATCTAACTTCAACAGATCCAAACTTATATTTTCCACATCCGGCAGTACGGGTATTGACAAATTAACGCCGCCAATAGCGCCAATAATATTCCTCAAAACCTTCATTTCATTATCCTCAAAAGCCATGGTAATACAAACCCCTGAAGAACCGTACCGACCCGCTCTACCCATTCTATGTAAATAAGTCATAGTGTCTACAGGCACGTCGTAATTAATAACTAAATCGACACTAGAGGCATCTATACCTCTGGCTACTAGATCGGTAGACAGCATAATGCGACACTTAAAATCTTTCAGGCTCGCCAAAGCACCCAACCTATCTTTTTGCGACTGCGCAGCGGAAATAAACGTCGAATCCCATCCGTGCTGATTTAAATAATTACTAATACTCTCTGCGCGCGTTTGAAAGTTAGAGAATATTAAACATTGCGTGAAGGATACGTAAGCTAATAACTTTAACAACGCCTCGTTCTTATTCTTCATCTGTACTGCCACCGTATTACAACGCTTCATAGGCTTCACAAACTGCTTTAGCCCCAAAAGCAGCGGCGACTCCAACTCGGCCGTCACGTGAGTGGGCGACAACATGTACCGACTCAGAAACTCTTCCAAATCATTCGGGTAGGTGGCGCTGGTGGTTATCATTTGTTTCTTGTCCGGCAATAGGTTGTAGATTTCGTTGATGTCGTTCTCGAAACTGGATTCCATGAGTTTGTCCGCCTCGTCGAGCACAAAGAGACGTATGCTGGTCGTTCGGAGGTGGCCATCTTTGATGAGGTGCTTTATTCTGCCTGGCGCGCCCACCGCAATGTGGCAGTCCGAGCAGTTTAGTTTGTCGGATTCCACAGGGGTTCCTCCGATGAAGTATTGGACTCTTAAACCTAAAAATTGTTATTTTCATTAGTTAAGTTAAAACACAGCAAACGGAAAAATATAGAACTGTATAGGATGACTCCGCGTTTGAATACTAAATCTTAAAGTTTTTATCAGAACTGTATTGAATCGTGCTTTGTTTTTATATATTTCGGCTCTATACCTATGCAAAACTATATTTAAAGTCAAACTCCATGGTGTCTTACAAGATACATTATTTTGATTTTCTATATTCAACAGAGAGGTAGAAACTCGACCCTGTCGAATGGTGCAGTCATTTATGTCTCTAGAAATTATTGAAAAAGGGTTCAGTCCAATGGTGCAGCAACTTCGGATTCCTATTCTCTTCAGAAACATAGAAACTCAAGCTTTTCGAATTTTACTGGCAATGATTTTCGTTAATGTCCACGAGAATTATACAAAAACAGCGCAATGCAATATCGCAACGGTTTCGACTTCTCTTTACTCTACCAAGTTATAGAAACTGGAGTCTCTCTAATACTGTTCTAGTCAATATTTCTGAGAGTATAAAAAGAGGGTGTAATATTGCAAGAAGTTTTGATCTTTTAATGGATGCAAGTAGTTTGAATTTTCTCATTTCTGCATATGATTTTGTTGAAAATAATTCCTTTCTTTGGTTCCTTTGTCTGATTTTTATTTACGGTTACAATTGTAAGTTGAGTTAACTCAGGTATGTAAAGCACAGAGGATATGATGTAAAGTATATTTATGTATTATATAAAGTACCTATATTTGTATTAAAAATTTCAAAGGTTATGTTGAAAAAATTATCGATATGCTATTAAACTTTAATAATTTAGTAATGAGGTCTGTTGGTAGATCCTGCACATCTCCACTGGAAGTTTTATGTTAGTTCAGCAATATTTAAATCTGGTTGATCAAAAAGTATACACCAGTGCAGTGTAGCATCTACGAACAAATGAATTAATGGCCCATTGGCAATTATTCCTTTAGGAAAAATTTTCACTAGTAATACCACTAGAGGTCAAATTATTTCCGGAAATTTTTTCGAGCTCATGAATATTTTGAAAATTATCCCGAGTCGAAGACGAGGGATAATTTTCTAAAAATATTCATGAGGGAGAAAAAATTTCCGGATTTAATTTGACCTCGTGTGGTATTCGGTAAGAAAATTCCACACCAAATTGTGTTTAAATAATTAAAATTAATTTTTTGATTTAACTTGACCTCGACTTGATTATTTAGTTACCATGGCAACTAAGTCAATCCCAACCTAAAAGTTATTTCAATTTTGAAGCTGTCAAGCGGCACGACGTAAAAAAATGTGAAATTGTCTGCTGTAATGATCAATCATCGTGCAATGACTTATTTACCCGCATTATTAGAGGATTGTGGCTCCTTCTTGAAGAAAGAAAATTTGTTTTGAATTGTTCACGAATATTTGCATCTTAACTATTCAAAACTCAAAGTGCTAAATGAAAAAAAAGGTGAATAGAATAGTGTCTAAATATTATATATATTTCATTAGACATAGACATTTAATTTATTTCAATTCCTGCATTTTCGCCATTAAGAAGAAAGGAGGTGTCCAACGAATATAGAAAACATCTAAACATCCATCTGTAATGGAAATGTATCAAAATTATCATGTAAACAAATAAAAACCAGATTGTCAAAAAAATATTCTGTCATTTTAAACGTCAAAAAATTTCCAGTATAATTCGCTGTTGGGTACCCACGAGGAAAAAATTTCCACTAAAATTCAACCGTTGCCATGGTGATCTATCAAAAATACACGTTTTGATTGGTTAAAAATTACAGGTGTGGAATTTTCAACACAGTTTAATTAATTAATAAAATGAAAAAAATCATGTCGTATATACAGTAGTTTTTTTTAAGCATAAAATAGTTTTCATTTTAATACTAGTTCAAAAGTGAAATTACGACCTCTATACTGTGGAGAGTATTGAAACGCTCGACTGACGAATACAAATCTATACCGTGGGGAGATTTAGAAAACTATATTCAAACGTGGCGTCATCCTATCTATAATTTTCCGTTTGCTGTGTAGCAACAAAATATTCTTGATCTAATAGCGAATAGTCGAAAAACTTTGAATGTAATTTTAAAGTAAGAACACGATTTTCCTCAAATGAAAAATGTTAACAGGTTTTAAAAATAAAGGTTAAAAAAATGTACCCGTGACCCACCGTTTCACGAAATCACGTCATAATTTTTTTTATACAGCAATCATTATTTTAACCTATAAAGAATTGTATTTCCCTATTTTGTTATAAATCATTTTTTTCTTAAAATATTGTATGTTTTTACATAAGACAAAAATTATACTTAATGAAAATAATAATTTTAATTATTTCTGGTTTTAATTGTTTGTATTTATCTTATATTAAATGAGGAGTGATTTTTCAAAAGGTCGTATTTTCATTTGCAATACATTTTCAAAAAACGAATATAACCTGTATAGGTTAGGGCGATATAGATTATTTAAAAAAAAAATTTGATGAATATATAATACTACTTCAGACCTGCTGTCCTATTGGTGGTTTAAATTTAAATATTTATAGCAATGGTATTTTTAAAAATTATTTGGAAATAAGACCTTTTGTATGAAATCATTTTGGAAATGTGCCTTTTTGCTGTCTACAAACTTGGAAATATTACTTTTTTATTGAATAGGTAACGTTTTAAAAAAAAATATGGAAAAATATCTTTATTGTGCTAACAACTTTGAATGTAATTTTAAAGTAAGAACTCCCAGAGTTCATAACACAGTTCAACACGATTTTCCTCCCATGAAAAATGTTAACAGGTTTTAAAAATAAAGGTTAAAAAAATGTACCCGTGACCCACCGTTTCACGAAATCACGTCATATTTTTTTTTATACAGCAATCATTATTTTAACCTATAAAGATTTGTATTTCCCTATTTTGTTATAAATCATTTTTTTCTTAAAATATTGTATGTTTTTACATAATACAAAAATTATACCTAATGAAAATAATAATTTTAATTATTTCTGGTTTTAATTGTTTGTATTTATCTTATATTAAATGAGGAGTGATTTTTCAAAAGGTCGTATTTTCATTTGCAATACATTTTCAAAAAACGAATATAACCTGTATAGGTTAGGGCGATAAAGATTATTTAAAAAAAAAAAATTGATGAATATATAATACTACTTTAGACCTGCTGTCCTATTGGTGGTTTAAATTTAAATATTTATAGCAATGGTATTTTTAAAAATTATTTGGAAATAAGACCTTTTGTTTGAAATCAATTTGGAAATGTGCCTTTTTGCTGTTTACAAACTTGTAAATATTACTTTTTTATTGAATAGGTAACATTTTAAAAAAAATATGGAAAAATATCTTTATTGTGCTAACAAAATTGAAAAATATGTAAGGCTTATATTTTAAGGATATCAATCTCTGGCTCATTACATAAACACATCACTTCTTCATCATATTCTTGACATTCAACATCTTGTGCAACATATTCACCATTTAATACTCGTATATGCCTTTTAACCATACCTTTGTGATTTTGTCGAAAAATGACATTTAAGTAAAAATGGAAATACGGCCTTTTGAAAAATCACTCCTCAAATATATGTTGGAAACAAATTGATCTTTTAGTTTGACGATTATACATTGATTTAGAACCTATAGTGGTATCACAACCCAAAAAACACCACTTGATATAAGTACAGGGTGTTTCACATTCGTGGTCCATTGAAAGTTTCTGGGGAACGGAAAAAGATGTCGATGGGAAATTTAAAAGAGTTTATAACCCCTTTAAGTCTATTTTTTTTAATATTTTGATCAAAATTCCACTTCCGGTTTGACCGGACATTTTTGGAATGTTAAAACATTGTTTAAAAGATTTCATGTCAATTCTTTAAGATTTTTCAACAAATTACCCAAGAAAACCCAGGTCAAATTGGGCTTACTTAAAATGATAATAACTTTTTTATTTTAAATGTAATCTCGGTATGTTTTTACTTAATCAAATAGCAAATTAAAAAGCATTTAGATTAATATAACTATTCCTTATACCAAATGTCAATAATTTCAGAGATATTTCACAATTTCACAATTTCTAAATTTTAAATATTATAGAAACCTGTGATGAGTGAGTTGACGGTATAGTCGTCGCGGCGAATGTTTCAAATTGCGTCATCAATATCGAATGTCAAAAACGGTTATCTCGACATACGGTTAACCTAGCGGTTCCTTGGATTATATACATACGTAAAAGAAAACAACAATAATTGTAATGTCTGTGCTTGGTTCAGAATTTGATGACGCAATTTGAAACATTCACCGCGACAACTATATCTGTGCCTACCAATACTTAATGAAAATTTTCAGGTTGTTATAAAAAATTTGTTGTCTAATTATGTGTTTTGTAAACAAAATTACTGATAAAAAAGCAGTCAGTGAATTTTAAAAAACATTGACAAGCCAAACGATTTTAAAATTTAAAAGTAATGCAAACAGTATTCGCTAATTTAAAAAAAAATCAACAAAACTTTATGTAGAATGTCAACTAGATTAAGCAGTAGGATATTGGAGACAATAAAATATAAAATTTACTTTATGAATTATTTTATTAACAAAAAGAATGCGTAAGTAAAAAAATGAAATGTTTCAATCAAAATGTTTTTTAATTTTTAATTTGATTATGTAAAAACATACAAGGTGTTTCAAATAGAATAAAAAAGTTATTAACGTTTTAAGTTAGCCTAATTTGCCCTGGATTCCAAAACTTCCGCCCTTATTTTCGCAAACCGAATATCAAAAAAGTTATAGGCTATTTCTGATTGACGCGCATTTGTCAAATTTTAACGAAACAAATTAATAACTCGAAAACTATTAGGGATAGGACATGGTACAGTAATTTTACTCAGAATTGTACGTAGAATTTAAAAATGTAAAAATATATGGGGTGTTCTATTTAAAATAACAAAGTTAACCGGAAGTGGCATTTGGTTTAAAATATTTT